GTTATATTCACATTTTGCTTCCAAGCGATACCACAAATTTTCCCGCATGCGAAGCCAAGCAGGCGTTTGTACAAGACACATGTTATGTTTGCCGTTTGTTCGTCTTTTTTTATCGGTCTGCTAGTCTGCTCAACAGACGAGTAAAGCTGTGATCTGTGTTGATAAACGACTGAAGTCACCAGTGGTCGAATGAAATCAAGCTCAAATCTCCCTTTCAAACCTGTTTAAACAAAATCATATATTTCCAATCTTTTGTCTACTCCATCATTTGTTCCGTCTACCATTAAATCATTTACTCCAGGCGACTCAATATGTTGTATGCTCTTTTTCAAGTCGCTTCGACAAACTTGACTCACATTTCAACCTCAAACCGAATAGAGAAGCCAAGTAATGGTTATGACCACAGCTCTTCTTGCTCTTCGATTCCAGTTGTCTTTTTTAATGTACCAACCATGTCTCTTTCCATTCTGGCGCAATTCTGGAACTTTGGCGGAGGCCCAATCATATGGACATTTGGTCTCTCCACCTGTCGCACCAGTTATCCGAACGTTTTGGTTGATCCCTTTTTTCTTTTATCGCTTGCTTTGGTCGACACACAAACACGAACAGGTTAGGTTCACCAACAAAAAGCATAAACCTGTCATGCCTGGCGTTTCGGCTTCATTTACAGTTTTGCCTTTAACTTGATGTTTTTGCGTTAAGATATCGCTTCATCTGCTTGTCTCGTATCAGCTGATCGTTGTCCTCATACTCTCTTCCCGGGCCCACCGCAGTCCCACTTCTCGCTCTCTACTTGTCCCACTTTTTGCTTACTATTCTTCACATGGACTAGCACATCACGTCATGAGATTGGCAGGTAAATGTAGGTAATGAGGAGAGAATTGTTGATATAATGGGAGCAACCTGGTGAGATGGCTTTCTTGTGTATGCATGCTATGCGTTTGTCTTTTTTGGCCTAAACAACACAGTGTATCTGTGCTTATTATGCATTGGCTTGTGTATGTATGTATGTG